GTTTAAGCAAATCCTACAAACGTTTTGAAATTGTTTCATCTTGCAGGTTCGGCTTTCTAAATTTCAAAATTCAGCCGAGTTGCAGTGATTGGTCAGAAAAGAAGAAAATACTGAAAACATTAAGGTGATTGGTTGGCATGTCGCAGTAAGCAGAAAATCAGTGAATTATAAAATTACAATGGTTTTTCACTTTTCTCTCCCTTTCTACCAAAAACTGGTAAAAATCTTGAATCTGGTTCTTTGGTCTCAACTCTTTTTGTAGGGAAAATTCATTTTTGTTTGTTTATTTTAGATATTTAAAAATGTTTTCCAGCTCCAGTGTTAAATGTTTGTTAGAATTTAAGGTTTATAGATGAGATTGTGTTCTTGCATTATTATACAGTTATCATTATATTACTTAAAAATGGTCTCAAAACAAGAATATTATCGATCCAACAAATTGTGTTATTGTGACAGGAAGTGATTGGCCAGATTTGAGAAAATTGGAAATAATGCAGCATTTGAACTTCCTAGAGAGACAGATGTACCAGGCAGTTGCACTAAATATCAGCTTTTATTGCTTTAAGGAAGTTTGAGCTTCTTCACAAACACCAGTCTGTGTTTGTCATTTATGCGTCAGGATAAAAATGAATTGCAGGAGGCGACCAGGCAAATATTCAATCAGTTTCCAGCTTGTTGTTGTGTGACCAGAATATGAATCAGCAGCTCTGAACCTGATTTTAAATCCCTCCTTCTGTCCCAGAAAAGAATGTAATCCTCCTTTCACAGGAAAAGAGTGAGTCACTTCTGGGTGAAAAGGTTAAGTAACCCAGAGACTTCCTCTCTAGTGTCTGGAAACTTTTTAAACAATGAAAATGTAGCTCAGCCATGAAGTGAAATACTTCTTCATTTTCAACAATCAAGTCCATTTTTGCAGCTGTGTTCAGCTGGTAAGTATTAAAATGGTCAATATTAACAATTGGATTAATATTATTATCCAATAATATTATATTGGATAATATAATTACAAATCAAATCAAACTATTTGTAAAAAAACATTAAGGACTTTTACAGCATCTCCAGTAAATAACCGTAAAAACACCCATTAGTGGCATATTTAGCTTTTAGGCAGGTTTAGCTTTTCAACAGCTGCATTTTATTAATAAACTTTCCTTGAGGGACTAATAAAGCTCATTTAGAAACCAGCTGGCAGAAACAGACGGGTGTGAAAATCCATTTTGAAGAGATTAAAGTGTTTTGAAAGTTTTAAAGTTCTCATTATTTTTGATGAGGCTCAAAGCAAAACCTTTTTATTTTAATCTGTATCCAACAAATGCAGATTAAATCATTTTTGCAGATCTTGGGGGGGAAAACTTTTGTTCTTGGATCTATTTTTTTATACTAATTTTAAAATTGATATATCGCCCTGGTACAGGAGATGGTATTTTAATACACTCCTAAATATGTAGCTGTAAGGTCAAAGGTTGAGAATTTTACTCCAATGCTTGAATATGATGTAATGTATGCTTTAAGTTTCCTGCTGCAGATTTGATCATCAGCAGTTCAGCACAAAGCTTTGAAATTCAAACAGGAAGCAGGTTCTCGTTTTGGCCTCTGATGATCAGTTCCTCATCATCAGCCTCATCTTTCTCCCCAGCTTTACAAAAAGCTGCCTCCATTTCCATTTTCATTAGCAGCTAAGTGGGCAGAGGACCGGATAGAAAGGACTTTTAAGGTCTGCGGTTCAGCGCAGTGATGTCTGATATCAGGAGGCTTGTGTTTTCTCTGAACGATCAGATCTGCGTATCAGGACGCCCATTCTCTGATTAAAACCAAGTTAGCTTCAACCTTAATCCTCTCTGGGAACAATTAATGATTAACATCTTCTTTTGGCTCAAAGCAATCACAATCAGAACTGGACTGGAGACGGGATTTCATCAGAAAAGCTCAAAGTTGAAACAGTTTCACCTCTTATCTTCTTCAAAACCTCGATAATCCTGAACAAACACATAGAAAAAGGTCGTTTATCTTCGCCCGTAAGCCGCCTTATGCAGACAAGATGCGACTGAATGCCAACAAGCAGCACAGGTTGCCTGCTGAATAAAAGATAAGCTTGTCTCACTTCTCCGCTGGCAGCTAACCCCATCAATATTACATCTGAAGGGGAGTATTGCAAACAAGCTGTTGAGACGGAAACGATGCAATAAACTCGGCTTTATTTTCACTCAGAAAACAAAACGCAGCAAAATCCGAGGGGGGAAACTTTCTTATGCACGCGAAAATGTTTCCTGTTGAGACAGAACGAATACAAACGATGAAAATCCAAATTTCTCAGCCAGAACCACAACAGATGTGATGTAATAACGCTGCTGCCGCATTTTTAATAAAGAGGAAATCATTGGAAAATCACAAACTGACGTCATGACTCTGAAACACACATTTCTGAGTCTTGTGTCATTTGCAACTTTGTAACATCTGTTGAAAATGATGCTGAGCAAATAAATTATTTACAATGAGATCATTCTAACGATGTGCATTTATTGTATCGTTTATTATTTATCATGATAAATTTCAATTCATCGTCTCAGTAAAATCCAATTAACGATGTTAGAAAACCTCTAAAACCATCTGCATTGTTGAGCTGAATTGTGTAAATTCTCCTAAACAAGTTTTATCATGTCTGTTTTTCAATCAAAATAATTGCTACTAATTGGTTTTACACCAGTTAATGAAACAAAATCAGACCCACTGCCAGGAATCTGAGCGACTGCCGTCTTTAATGACTTTAAAGAAAAATAATTGAGAGGTTTGACCAAACATAAGCCATGTGATTTTCTTTCCCCACCGTCAACTGATCTATATTCAGCATTTATAGGAGAATATTCTTGATTTCAAGGAGAAGAACTGAAGATCTCTCACAGAGTGATTTGGCTGCACAGCCTCCAATTATTCCTGGAGAGCAGCCGTGATTGCTCAGCAGAGCTGAACGCATGACAGTAAAACATCAGAACCACCAACATAATGTTGACAGAAGGCTGCATAAAGCCTTCAGCAGAGTAACGGGTCACATGTCCTCCTCTCAGCTGATGCTGGAGTCAAAAACAGACCAGCAATGTGACACATTTTGGTGATTTCCAATCACTGTTATGTCTCTCTGCAGGAATGTGTTGAAGGTTTTTCTTGGTAATGGAAAACTGAAGAGATTAAATGCAGAAAAGGCAAAAGAGAGAGAGATGGATTTATTTTAGACTTCTCTGGAGAGGATTAACTCCTTGAACCTTCATCTTGAAGCCAGTAATACTGGCTAGTACTTGATTATTTTGACGATTAATCGGATTTAAAAAATGGACACATTCTACATATTTGTCATTTAGCCACTTAGCCCTTTTTTTTGCACAATATTAGAAACACATAAAAAGATGCAAATAAGCAAATAATTCAGTTCATTTAACAGGAAAATAAACATTTTATTTCCTAAAATGCAATTAAATAGCAGTCCTTTAGTGATTATTTGTAGCAAAGATGCACCTGTAGCTAATTAATTACTTAGCAAAAAGTGCTTAAAGTAACAAAAGGCCCTAAATCTGTTTTTTCTGAAAGGAGCTCAAAACTGAATTCTAAATATCTAATGATGTAGTGAGCATGTTTTGTATAGGCCATAAATTTAACCTAACCTGTTAAGCTGTTTACATTAAACAGCTTAATTATAATCATAAAAAGTTGCATCCATCCAAGTTGATTCTCTAAAATTATGGAAAAAACGACGAAAGCACTAGAAATCACTAAACATTTTTTAATCTGAAGGAATTTTGTCCTTCATATATTAAATATTTTATGCTTTTCAGTATTTATTTTAGACAAACTCAATATTTTCAGTCTTGGTATTAGCCGGTAGCTTGTCAAGTAGCGTTGCGGCTACTTTCTACGCAGACGTGTAGATGTCAGTCATACTAAGCAGTAGTATGACTGACATACTACTAAACTGACATACTAAATTTTCCTTTATGTAAAAAAAAAATTGTTTGGGGTTGCTTTATGAGCTTTTTTGTGATTTTGTGAACTGAAGAGCTGATGGGTCGCCCGGTTGGCCGACCGTGACATGTGCTGCACTCTTCCTGAGCATCGCGCTAAAACTGCGGGTTGAACAGTTAAATCTAGGTGAAACACTACCAAAAGAGAAGAAATGAAGCAGATATTGTTGCTTCACTTTCTCCTCTCAGACTTAGGAGCAGGTCCACTGTTTTTGTGGGTCATACGCGTTAAGTGCACGTAGCCTGTATTTGTGTGGTTTAGGTTTGTGCAGGCACTTTATGCACGTTGGAGATGTGGTTGTGCTCTTGTGGGTCCGGTGCAGTGACAGTGTTGTGCGTACCCTCCGATAATATCCTGCAGGCACCCCTGATGCTATTTGTCTACTTTTTAGAACTCATGGAAACCATTTTGATAACAGAAAACATTGACAGACTCCCGATGTCAATTTTACTTAAATTGACCTGAAGTGGGTCTGCTCTGAAAATATCTGCTGAATTTGTGCCAGAAGGAGCTGGAGAGTTGGAAACTGGCTCCTTTGACTTTGCAGGAGCGTAACCGTGTGAGTTTGTGACATCATCCACCTCTTTCCTTTATGGATGCAACTAATGACCACCAGCATGTTTGTTTTACAAGTTAGTAGGCATTTAACCTCTAATATGTTTAATTAAAGAAGAGCGTCAAACTGTTCCATGTGTTTTTATTTACGACCTCATTAACTCCATGATCCTAAAAAAGATGCTTTTCCAGAGGAGACTGCTTTGCTGACAATGGATATTTAGTTTTTTCCCCCAGAATGAGAACTCTCCATCCTTTTACCAGAATCCTGCTGGTGACATGTGGCAGTAGTTGGGGAAATCTCACTGCACTGCATGCATTTATATACAGGATATATGAAACGTAGAACCAAGCCGATCAGCATTGGTATTACAGTCAATTAGAAAATTGCATGGACTCCTAACGTTACACTTGTCCCTGTTTTTCATCATTAGACATAGCTGTTGTGGAGATGACAGATGCTTTCCGCCAGCCCTCGCTCTTCTACCATCTGGGAGTCAGAGAGAGCTTCAGCATGGCCAACAACATCATCCTGTACTGCGACACTAACTCAGAGTCTCTCCAGTCTCTGCAGGTAAGCCGCCCTGTTTGCAACGCTCCACCGCCCATTACAAACTACATCCAGGTTCAGGCTGCAGGTGCATGTGGCACAGATACAATGAAAAACTTTATTTCACTGAAACTAACAATTATTTTTGTGTTCTGGTGATTAATCAGATTTTTAAATAATTGGTAAATTCTTAATCCAAGCCTTTTTTATGCAATATTAGATGCATTAAGAGATGCAAATACACAAATAATTAATTTTTCTTTTAATATGAAAATAGACATTTTATTGCCTAAAATGCAACAAAATGTCTGTAGCAAATGATGCATTTGCAGCTAAAAAAATAAAATTTCTGCTTGACTTGGCAGCAATACATTGTAGGACTGATTTTTGGATTAACCAGTTAATAATCTTATTACTTTATTGTCACATTATGATGACTTTATTCTTTATTGTCATAATATTACAACTATATTCTCATTCTATAGACTTTATTCTTGTATGAGTTTGTTCTCATTTTTTTATTTACTTGCACATGGATGGTTTTAAAGTGAAATAATTACACTTTCATTTCGCTGATAAGCCGTTAATCTTTTTAATCATGTTTTAATATCTTCATTTTTCTGCAGCTTCTGCTGTGATTTTTATTTCTTTCATTTAACTTGGACAGGTTCCTACCTGAAGTTTTTATTCGGAGAGAAAATCTGGTCGTTTGCATTAAGTTTGAACCTTTTCTCACATTTCGTCACATTAGAACCACAAACTTTAATAGTTCTTGTTGCAAACCAACAAAGAAGGAAATAACTGTGAAAACAGAAACGGTGCTAGTTTCATTAACCGTCCTTCATTAACTATAAACATACAACCAAAACTATGATGAAATAATTTAGTTCTAAGTGTTTTTTTGTGGTCTAGTCCAAGTCCAAACCTAATTCCAACTGAGAATCTGTGTTAAGACCCAAAAACTGCTTAGCACAGATTCTCATTTTTTTTGCTCGTATTTCAGGAGATGATTTACCAGTTTGACTGAGATTAAGTAATTTCTGCACGTTTAATCCAGAAGACTTAAATATCTCTGTTGTTTTGTGGTTTCAATAGAATAAATGTAAAAAAGATGAGCCACTCCAGGGTATTTTTGAATCTCTGATTAGTTGTGTTGGAGCATGATGATTAAAATGAGCTGTTTTCAAACATTTGTTGCACTTGTTAACACAGGAGATGATACATTTGTGCCAAAATTATCTTTAGACATGAAGATAGCACAATGCTGTTATTTAATGTTGAAAATTACTGGAAGAATAATTCAGAATAGTAATTTTTCCAAACGGAAAACTCAAATATGCATGCTAGAGGGATCAGTTTTAACATTTCGTACTGGAGAACGTTTAGTTCAGCATTTAATTTAGCATATGGGGCCGCTATTTGTTATATTTTTAAACTAACAGCTTTGATTGGTTTAACCCAGCAGGTGTGATAGCAGTAAATTATCCCTGGGAGAAAATGTTCCTGTCCAGCCTCTAAACATTTTCTTTGCTCTTATTTCAGGAGATAATTTGCCAGAAGAACACTGTAAGTACATAAAGCTTTTTCCCCCCGTCTCCTTCGTTTTTCACACATTACTCACCCGTTTCTCACACATATTATGTTGTGTAAAGAACATGCTGGTTTATGAACGGAGCACCGAAAGCCTTATGCTTCTGTTCTCAGCGTTATAAAGGTTTGCACTCTTGCAGCAAACTGTGGTTGAGGAGCTGTGATAATTGTTTGGTGAAATATAAAAAAAAGCCTCTTCTTTCACTTTCAAGATGCTTTTTCCCCACATGACAGCTGCTTCGTGTGATTCACCACACATGGTGCATGAAACAGCTCAGGCACTTTGAGAATTTGGTTTGCAAAAAACGGCAGCAACATTCAAATAAGGTGGTTCCTTAAAACTGAGGAAATCCTGTTTTTAACAGGCAGATTGGACTGTAACCTCTGCACAAAATCTAATTTGCATACAGATTCTGATGCAGATATATCTCATTCTTAACCTTTATCGCTTTTTGCAAAAACCGAGGCAACAGATAAAGCTTCCTACTTTGCTACACCAACACATTTTGCCTGATAAATGTTGACTGATGTGAGTTATAAATGCTGAGATTTTCAGTGGACAGAGTTGACCCTGAGCTGCATGAGAAGCTCTGTTCTCCGACTCCTGCAGAGTGAAAAGTGCTGATTATCTCAGAATCAGAGTGTGAACTCATTCATGTCACCCACTGTCATTTGTTCTCCCTACTTCCTGTAAGACGCCGGCCTCTGAACTCCAGCAACCCCCTCTTATCTCATCCTGCTGCTCATAAAAACACAGTTAAAGTGCAATTCTGTAACAGCAGACATTGATGCTTTCACTGCAGAAAAACTAAATGATACCAAGTGATTTTGGTGTAGTTTCTAGTGCAAATATCTTGGTACACTTGAAGTAAGTCAAAACTAACTTATGGTAAGGTGCGGTAGTTTAATTTATATGGCACATTTCCAGCAAAGGCAATTCAAAGTGCTGTATAAGTAACTTATAAAAATATCTTGTTATAAATTAATCTGCTAGTGGAATATTAATGAATTATTTACTTAAAACAAGCTCCCATTTCTTGCTGAAACATTTTTTGTAAGTTAGTTTTGTCTTTTTTTAAGGGTACTAAGATATTTGCACCAGAAACTAGACCAAAATATTTGGTAAAATTTTGTTTTTGCAGTGTTATTTTTCCAATTTTTTATGCACACTCGTCACATATAACATCAACAGTGACGTAACTTTTTCATATTATTTTTACATTTCTCTCAAGAATAAAAACATTTCATAGGAGTAGAAAGGAGATCCGTTCTTGTCTGAGTGCAACCAGCCACAAAACACAGCTGTATGATTGTACTGTGATTTATTTTCAAGATGTTTTTTATTTTCAAACTCATTCTTGAGACGTTTTCACACCTGATCATCCAGTTGACTGACCAAAACCGACCAAAATTTCAATTTTTTGTTACATTTTCACGCTGCACTGTCAAATGATCCAAACTAACTGTAAGACCTGTATATTAACATAAATGGGATCAATCTGAATTGTCAGTATAAAACACTGAAATCACACACAAAAAAAATGTTGTCTTTAATATTCTGAGTGCATAAAATACTCTGTAGATGTTTCACTGGATTTCTATCTAAAGCTTGAGTCACAAACTGTCTGAAATGTGATATTTTTAACTGCCTGCCATCATAATTAAAACCCAGGTAATTGTACAGCGATTTCCAGCAGCTTTATTTCCAAGTACACTCACTGTGTTTTACAAACTACCAAAGATTTAATGCTTGTGTGGAATAAACAAGGGATTCTCTGAGTTAACAGGCTGTTCACATGCCTCCTACGGTTTTTTTTTTAAATTGTTATGTTGTGTTTTAATGTACAGCACTTTGTATCAGCTGTGGTTGTTTTAAAGTGCTTTATAAATAAAGTTGGTATGGTATCTAAAATTAATGAATTCATTAGAAAATATGTAAGTTGACCTTAAATATGTTAAAATTGACAGGACAATTTTATCATATATATTCTTTGTTGTTTATGAACCATTGCTAGCTGGCTTGGTAACGTTTATCGGTTTATCATTGGTGGATGCATAAAAAGGTGGATTAAGTTTATGCTCAATACAAAAGAGTCTCATTTAGTCTTATTCCTTTCAGAATTAGCTTTTTTAGTGCCTTTTATCACTTTAAATCCTAATAAGCTGCCTGGTTCCATGCATTGCA